ATCCATTTTTCATGACACCACGTGCGCTGGATGAATAAAACAAACATTCTGACCTTCTCACGTAGACCTGTCACCGTAATTACCATATCGACTATCGTTCAATATATGAAAGATGGAACAGTAGATTTTGGAGCTCAGTATTTATTATATGTACAATTTCTTTGCAATAGTGGGATGATTCTTGCCATTTTTCTGTGCTATAATAAGATTTGAGCTGTAGACGGTATAGGGATGGGCATTCGATGAAATTTTCTTAATCGATCGTCGGAAGAATTAACGATCGATTATCGATTAATCATTAACGTTTTTTTAATTAAAATGATCATCATTATTATTACTATCTGCACTACTAATCTGCATAAATAAATTCAACTTTATGACATATAAACCATAACGACTCTAGAGCCACATCAGCCCGTTTGACATTATAATGTGTTTAATTCAGTTTTGCGCAACTCTCACAGAAACAAAACTTAAAACCGCATCGCTAATTTGCATAAACTCAGCGAAGATAAAACTACAGCTCTTGTGTCGCTGATGCGGTCAATTTCTGTCGGATTAAAAGACATGATTCAGTGGAATACAGGTTAGTGTGACCATATTTGCATTTGTCAAAACCAGGACACCATACGGGGGGAGGGAGGTGGGGACTCGTCATCGACATTGAGCGACTCTCACCTGACAAAGCTTTTTCCCACTGGACACAGAAACATATGTGCTGCTTTGTACACTGTGCACATGGACTCACACTTGTCCCGAACGCAATGGAAAGTGTGGAATTTCTTGTACAAGTTATCGTTAAATACACATTTGTGCTTCGGTACGTTGCAGATTGACCGACTGTTTGTGTTTGCTCGCTCCTTCTGATGCAGAGTGACACATGTACGGACCCTGTTTGTCAATTAACCCTCTCAGGCTCAAATTAATTTTTAGTATCAGGAAAAATCTGATATTTGGGGAAAATTATAATATGGGGTAGTAATATACAATTCTGACTTTTTTATCCTTTGTAAACAAAAAAAGAATTTTGCACTTCTGGCAGGTCGTGCGCGTGTAGCCGTTCTTGCACAGTCTGCATCGTCCACGTTTATCAGCATTGGATGGGAGAAAAGGCTCCTGAGTAAAAAAAGCTCATATAATATGGATGTGGAGTAAGTAGGTACTTGGAATTTAGCTGATGCAAATCTGCAACGCCTGCCTGGAGAGGGTTAAAATTAACATAATCGATGAAATTCTTAATGATCAATTATCGATTAATCAATTAATCATGCCCATCCCTAAGACGGTAGAATAAATATGCATATGGGCTTTTTCATGGCCTGAAGCTGATACTAATTGTTAAGAATTCAGAGAAACCCATGGTTGACAAACTCTGTTGATATTTTTTGGATGATATGTAGAGCCGATTTTGATCAGTTTCTCCAAATTATGTATTTTGAATTTAGTAAAAACTCTGACTCCACCGTGTTTTACTGGTTATGTTATACTGGTTTTAATGTTTTAGAAATGGCAAGGTTAAATTCAGCATTTACTGTACCCTCTGTTATTGTTTTTTTTTTTTGGAAACAGTTTTTTTTGGAAGTGGATTTGGATAAGAGAGCTCTTTCGTCACATTTTTGCCCTACCCTCTTTGGACTAAAGTGTTCAAACAAAGCTTAATGTGTATATTCTTTATTCTTTTAGGCTGCTAGTTGGACCAAATAAAATATCAGTTTGCGTGGAGATTTAAGGCTGAAACTCTTTACTCTAAAACTGCAGATATCGGATATATCAGCGAACCGATATCAATTCCATCTCTACTTTTATGTCCAGTTTTTGATTCATTCCACTCTTTATCCATTGCAGCTCAGGCCTTTTAATGATTATATTGCCAGTAGCATAAAGTTGTTTCAGTATTATCGTTTATAGCTCGGGAACTACCAGCTCTCCGCCCCCTTCCAAGTAGCTCGCCAAGGGATTTCCGAACTCTATGTATTGTCTCACGTCACGGTATGAACCTCACGACACGATATTTATTGCGATATCTTGGGAAAGCTCTTGATTAGAGATGTAACAATATCCAAATCTCTCTGTACGATATTTTCACGATACACATCTCACAGCAAAATATTTATCAAGATATTTTGTGGAGGCTAAACAAAACTGTTACGATCCTGCTTTTTCCTCTTAAAATGCCTTGATAAGACTTAATTCTTCTTGTAGTCTGCACTGAAATGGAGCAAAGGATCATGGTCTATGTAGTTCTCTGTCTTTTTTTTTAGCTATTGCTGCACCATAACTCTTAATTTAACTATCTAACTGTTCCCCATCTAAGGTTTACCGTGGCTCTTTGGGGGGTTCCCACGATCATGGAAATCCTGGAAAAGTCACAGTATAATGTAAATTCAATTAAAGTTTTGGAAAAGCCATGATATTTTAGTATCTCTTTCACACAACTACAGCATTCTGTTAAGTTCTCAGTAGACTATTATGATTTTTTCCGAACTTTTGCGCCTTTTGTTTAAAAGACACGATAATAAATGCACTGACAGTATTTTGAATGTTAAAAAACTATAATACCAAACCATAAGGTGAGTGGAAAGGGTTTAACATTTCATATTTAGCCTTAAAAGTCTGATCAGTTCTACACAAGTCATGGAAAATTCACTTTAGGTCATGACATTTCTCTTATATTTACTCAATTTCTTTCCTAAAATGAGTAACTCTCCGGAGGAAAAAGGTTTGGAGACCCCTTGTTTATAGTAATATTTCTCTAAAGTGATATATTGTGCTTTAAAATGTGTTATCGTGACAGGCCTGTTGTCACGTCCAATGACACCTGCTTCACCACAATGGCTTTCCTCTTTGGTTTATGAATTTTCCCCTGGCTAATAAAAAAATACACACACATATACACACACATACTCACTGACGGGATGTTACAGGGGCCAATTCTAGACCTGACCAGACCTGCTCTCTGAATTCCCCCTGCTTAATTTATCTCAGTTTCCTGTTTCATGAGCTACTGCACAGGAGACCCCCGATCGCCACCACGCCGCGCTGGACACTGGGTTTTTATTGTGGAGCATGTCTGGCTTAAGTCTTTGTATTCGGATCCCAGTGGAAGATCTGACTGGCATCTGAAGCCTTTAAATAACTTCTCTTAAAAGTGGCTATTTTAAAATGAAGCTTGTTGTCTAGCTGTAAAAAGTGGAGGAAATAGAGGGCCCATAGTTTCAGTTTGTCGTACGTGGTGGATGATAATGACAAAAATCGTAATAGTTTTGGGGTGTTTTATTGCATTATCTCAAGAACCATGTAAAGACGATATTTTAAAGGTCTTATATTACACAAAATTAAATCTTGTGAGCTTTAATCCATGTTCATGCACATTTGAATGACTCTTTATTATTAGTCTGTCTACATCACTGCAAAAATCAAAATGTAGGTAAGTTAAAATGACTAAAATTAAGAACATTTTTACTTTATTTGAGTAGATTCAGCTTGAAAAGTAAAATTATTTACCAGTGGAGTAAGTGTGTTTTTCTTAACTCAACCAACCTTCGATTTTGTTTCTTATTTTAAGTGCAAAAAGTTGTGTTTTTTCTTTAGCCAGGCTTGTCACGGTATGAACCTCATGGTACGATATATATGCCGATATCGTGGGAAAGCTCACGATATTACGATATTACACACAATAACAAGACTGACGTTATAAAATGCTTTGACCAGCCATTTGGATACAACATTTATTGTCATAGTCCTATCAATGATATTTTGAACAGCTTGAAAAGCCTTTGAAATTGAAGTGCAGAATTCAAGTAACATCTAAAGAGTTGTAATAAAACTATAGTCAGGAGCCTCGCAGAGTAAACCCGACAGAGTAAACCCGACAGAGTAAACCCGACAAAGTAAACCCGACAGAGTAAACCCGACAGAGTAAACCCGACAGAGTAAACCCGACAAAGTAAACCCGACAGAGTAAACCCGACAGAGTAAACCCGACAGAGTAAACCCGACAAGAGTAAACCCGACAGAAGCTGACGCATCAGCGAACAAGGAGCGAGCTGTTTTATTCAGAGCTTATGTAAATTAGTCACGTGGCTTTAAGTTTCGTTTCTGTAAAATGTAAACAAGATGTGCACAAAGCTGCAATAAACACATTATTACTCAATGTATATTTGAGTCCTTTTCGTAGGAAATAAAAAAAAACGTAACTTAACATTTTATATTTTGGCTCCAGTTTAACCACTAACTTTTTAAACCCAGTGCTGCCCATTGTTCCCTATATATTATGTATTATGTACTATGTATTTAATTATTCTTTGAGCGCTGTTGTGAGGCAGTGCTGTTGTAAACACTTCACGTATATTTTTTTTGTCCCGACTTGATTTTCTGAACTCATTCTTGAACATTTTTGGCATGTCGGCTTATCAAGGTCCTTCTCATGTTGCTAGTATTTCCTGAGTATTTCTCCTTTCTCGTTTCGTGTCACAACAAACCACACAAAATGCTTTTAGACCTCAGACTTAAAAGCTGCTGGTGCGTCCACAACAGGGGCACAGGCCAATGATGCAGCCGCAAAGGACCATATAGTTAACTGTCCTATGCGGCACAGGAATGGACTGAAAATTCTTATTTTTGCCTAAAGACACACAGTTAAATACCATGACGATATCGTGGCAATTTTACTACAACAATCTCATGATATCACCAATATCGTTACACCCCTAAGTATTACTGATATTTAGTTGTATGTCCCTCCTCTACTTGGCAGCCATCTTGGTGCTGGTATGTGCATGTGTGGTATGACGGGAGCACAGAAGTAATCACGACCTTGTGTTTAATGACCAGCTGTTTGATTATCAGCGTCTCCAAAGTGGCAGGGGCAGTTTTGAATGTCACTGCTGACCAATAATAGCCCTGGTATGAAACACTCACTGAATGCAAAGCGAAGCCAACTACTCCTATGTTGTGATCACACTCAGATTAATGCATATCTCTCTCTGTGTTTTACTCAGGCACCATGGATCTTCCTCTACTTCTTCTTCTACTCCTCTGACAACTCCTGCTCCTCTTCCTCTCGTCTTTTTTCGCCTGTCTGAACACGTTTTGCATCCTCATCATCATGGCGGGTGGCGATAAAGGTCCGGCCAAACGCAGCTCCATGGACATAAAGCGTCTGGCGAGTCTGATCCAGAGGGGGGCCGGGAGGCTGCTCGTGATTGACAGCAGGACCTTCTCTGAGTACAATGCGTCGCACGTGCAGGGGGCCCTCAACGTCTGCTGCTCCAAACTGGTGAAGAGGCGGCTGCAGCAGGACAAGGTCTCTGTCACGGAGCTGCTCCAGCCCAACGGGAAGGTCAAGGTGAGGGTCACATTCACAATCACGATCACAATCACGTACTGTACCGTCTAACGTGAACACATGGGACATAACTGCTCCTCTTACTCCTCTTACTCGTCTCACCCGAAGCATTTATCACATTTATGTCAAGTCTGTAACACATTTTCAAGTTTGATATATCACAACATAGAAATATTGCAACAGTATCTCTAAAACAGATTTAAACCAGAAATGCAATCCGTGCATCATTCTTTCATTTGTTTTTCAAAATAAAACCAAAAATAAGAAAATGAAAAAAGAACTATTTTCTTCATTATTTGTCTCCAGAACCAAAATGGTCTGGTCCTAGTCTGGTCCCAGCCTCAGTCCTAGTCTGGTCCCAGCCTCAGTCCTGGTCTCAGTCCTAGTCTCAGTCCTGGTTCTGTTCCCGGCCTTAGTCCTGGTCTTAGTTCTGGTCTGATCCCAGCCTCAGTCCTGGTCTCAGTCCCGGTCTCAGTTCCGGTCTCAGTCCTGGTCCTGTTCCTGGTCTTAGTCCTGGTCTGGTCCTAGTCTCAGTCCCGGTCTCAGCCCTGGTTGCGGTCTGGTCCCGGTCTGGTCCCGGTCTTTTCCCGGTCTCAGTTCTGGTCTGGTCCCGGCCTGGTCCCTGACTCAGTTCTGGTCTGGTCCCAGTCTCAGTCCTGGTCCTGTTCTCGGTCTCTGTCCTAGTCTCAGTTCTGGTCTGGTCCTGGTCTGGTCCCAGTCTCAGTCCGCGTCTCAGTTCTGGTCTGGTCCTGGTCTCAGTCTCTGTCCTCGTCTCAGTTCTGGTCTGGTCCCGGTCTGGTCCCTGGTTCCTCCGTTCCGTTCCTCGTCCGCGTGGAGAGATGAGTGTGGCTGTGGGTGTTGTGGCTTTGTAATTTACTGAAGTCGCGCTGGGAGTGGATTCATGTATTGGCCGCTCTGGATTGTGGGGCACATGGCCGTTTTTTGACGGGGTTGGAGGCTTAAGCGTGCGTCTAATAGCCCGGAAAATACGGTAATACGACATTTTACTGGTCATAGTCGGCCCTGAAATTCCTATTATGTTTGAATTTTTCAGTAGTTACTTAAGAGATAAATAACAGCTACGTAACACATTTGGATTAGTTTTGTCTTACTTTTTTTTTTTGTATATAGGAAATAAATAAAATAAATAAAAGCCATAGTATTGGAATCAGTATCTGAACTGAAAAGGCTGAATCGTTGCTTCCCTAATCTTCATTACTGTCTTGTAACATGAAAAGAACCGAGTTTTACTGCACCAGCGTCCACGTGTGCTCTGTGCAAGATCATGTCTGCAAAAATGTTTCACAGAATCAGCGTTATAACAATGTGCTTTACCTGCACAAAACAAAACCTGCCTGCGCTGGTCCTGACGTCGATGCAGGAGAACGAGATTTAAATGGTTTTGAAATCTTGTTGAAACTACAGGTTGTCTTGACATTGGCGCTGGTGAGGGTCTGTGCTAATCCAGGCCGGCACACACTAGTGGGGGCTATATTTGTCGGCTATGCAGGCGTACTGTAAGTTTGTTGCTTATCAGTGGCCCTGAAATTGGATCCTCTCGTTTTCCATGACTTCTCCTCTGAATATGACAGCCTTTTTTCCATGGCCTGTCCGCTGGCACGCTGTATTTTTAACCACCGTGTGAAACTGAAGGAAACCGTAGCCGCGCTGAGGTTTGTGCACAGAAACATCTCCAGCGCGTTAAAGGTGCACCAGGTAACTTTTCGGTCGGGGGTCCGTCACCTGCTTGTTTCTATGGATACGGCATTACTCCTCTTACTGCCTGTAATCCGTACATCATTCGTTCATTGGTTTTTCAAAATAAAACCAAAAATGAGAAAATGAAAACAACAACTATTTTCCTCATTATTTGTCTCCAAAACCAAAATGAAAAAACATATAATGATTAATTTTTTCAGTTTTGTGTTTAAATTAATAATGAAAAAATGGAAAACAGCCTTTCTGTGACTTAAACTGTGATGCCGGACTTTTGCTCTGCATACGGACTAAACCAGGACTAAATCAGGTCTAAACCAGGACTAGACCAGGACTAAACCAGAACAGGATCCTGGACTGAGACCGGGACTCAAACCAGGACCAGACCAGGATGGAGACTAAGACTTGGACCAGACTGGGACCGAACTGGGACTAGACTGGAACCAGATCAAGACTGAGACCGGGACTGAGATCAGGACTGAGACCAGGACCAGACCGGAACCAGACTGGGATTGAGTATGAGATCGAGACTGAGACTGAGACTGAATCAGGTCTAAACCAGAATTGAACCAGGACTAAACCAGGTCTCGGTCTCAGTCCTGGTCTCAGTCCTGATTTCAGTCCTGGTCTCAGTCCTGGTCTCAGTCCCGGTCTGGGCCCGGTCTGGTCCCGGTCTCAGTCCTAGGCTCAGTCTCGGTCTCAGTCCTGGTCTGGTCCGAGTTTCAGTCCTTTTCTCAGTCCCTCAGTCCTGTTCTCAGTCCCGGTCTCAGTCTTGATCTGGTCCCGGTCTGGTCCCAGTCTGGTCCCGGTCTGGTCCAAGTCTCAGTCTCAGTCCTGTTCTGGTCCTGGTTTGAGTCCTGGTCTCAGTCCCGGTCTCAGTCCCAGTCTGGTCCCGGTCTGGTCCTGGTCTCAGTCCCAACAATCTTCGCGGGCGCACCTCCAGACCTGTCCTGTCACTCAGTCCTGGTTTAGTCCTGGTTTAGTCCTGTTTCAGTCCTGGTTCAGTCCGGCATCGCAGTCACAGAAACGGGAAACGTGTTATCCGTTTTTCCCATTATTCATTTAAACACAAAATCGAAAACTAAAAAAGTTTTTTTTTTTTTTTCATTTTTGTTTTGGAGACAAATAATGAAGAAAATAGTGTTTTTTTTCATTTTCTTATTTTTGGTTTTATTTTAAAAAAATAATTAATTAATGATATATGGTACATCCACAGTTTATTTATTCAATTCCAAGTTTTGTAGCTCTAAAATACCTAGAAAACAAGCATTCTTACTGTGAGTGACTCTGTGCCACTCCACAGACCTGACCTGTAACTTGGTCTGGTTTGGTCTCCATGAAGATAGGATGCACTCATTGTCTGCATGTTGTGTTTGGATCTGTTTAAACACACACCTTGGACAAAAACAAAAGCAGATCATAGACAGAATGCTGATTCGTCATGTGTAATCTGGAAAAGGGACTCAGGGATTTAATGTCCATAAACGCTGATGCTTTTGTTTTGTTCTTGTTGCCAGGAGCAGGTCTCATTGTCACTCTGAGCTCTGTGTGTGAGTGATTTATGACGAACGAGACACAAAGAGAAGGAAGCTCAACACTTTCTGTGCTACATTTTAATACCCAATCACAAAACACGCCCAGCAAAAGAAATAGCACTCTATAATATTTTATGGTTGTGAATTATTGCTGCGTTGCTACAGTTGGATTACACTTGGCACTTGGAGGTGACTGACAGTTTCCAGTCTGTGAAATGATGAAGATGAAGAAGTTGTTTAGGGTGTTTTGACCTAAAGTTCAGTAATAGTGTAATGTAATCGGTGCATTAGCAGGAGTCTCTTTCATAAACTTTTACTTTTACAATTTTCTTTTAATTTGCTTTTACAGCAGGCCCCTGGCAGACAAACACTATTTCTCACCCAAATAAATGGATAAGAATGCTGTAAAACACCTTCTGCTCTCACTGGAGGCGCACACCCATAAAAGTATATTTTTACTGGTGAACCTCACAAACACCTTTTATGTGTGAGATATTATTTATTAGATTAATGCCATTCCAGCACTGTGCACGAGGCCTGCTCACTGTGTGCAGCTCTGTGCTGCACACAGAGCTGGCCCCCATTGCCCTGTGCCCCCCACTGCCCTGTGCCCCCCATTGCCCTGTGCCCCCCATTGCCCTGCCCCCATTGCCCTGTGCCCCCATTGCCCTGTGCCCCCCATTGCCCTGTGCCACCCATTGCCCTGTGCCCCCCATTGCCCTGTGCCCCCCACTGCCCTGTGCCACCCATTGCCCTGTGCCCCCCACTGCTCTGTGCCCCGCTGAGCTGTGACTCTTGTTTGAACAGCAGTTCTGTCTCATGTCCCATCTTCATCTCATCCTTCCTATGGGCCGCACGCCTGCTTTGTTATTATCTAAGCCCCGCCCCCAGTAAAGAGGATAAGGCCTGCGATTAATGTTCGTCTGGTTCAAGCTGGAACGAGCTGGGTGAGAGAGGAGGGCCGGGCGAACCCAACCTCTTTTGTTATTGGCTAAGCATGACATCATCTCTTTGTGCGGCCGCTGGCAGGCCGCGGGCTGGGCACGTGCAGACTGGATGTGTGGTGTTAAACACTACACCCCCTCGCCCCCTCGCCCCCTCATGGCCCTGACCGTGGCCAGGAGCTGCTCAGCCTGCCAAGACAGCAAAGGACACTATTGTGGCTCTTTGTTGGCCGCTGAATGCAGGAAGCGGAGAGCAGCTCTGAGAGTATTCATAGACGAGCCTCTGCCTCCCGCCGCACACCACATTCAACTCTGAGAGTCCCCCAAGGCACTGCAGGCCCTATCACACAGGCCCTATCACACAGGCCCTGTCACACAGGCCCTGTCACACAGGCCCTGTCACACAGGCCCTATCACACAGACCCTGTCACACAGGCCCTGTCACACAGGCCCTGTCACACAGGCCCTGTCACACAGCCCTATCACACAGACCCTATCACACAGGCTCTGTCACACAGGCTCCATCACACAGCTCCTGTTACACAGGCCCCATCATGCAGGCCCTATCACACAGGCCCTATCACACAGGCCCTATCACACAGACCCTATCACACAGGCTCTGTCACACAGGCTCCATCACACAGCTCCTGTTACACAGGCCCTGTCACACAGGCCCTGTCACACAGGCCCTATCACACAGGCCCTATCACACAGGCCCTATCACACAGGCCCTATCACACAGGCCCTATCACACAGGCCTCATCACACAGACCCCATAGGCTCTGAGCTGAGGGTCCTGGTCAGCCCCTGTCCTGCTCTCTGGTTGGTCTGTGTATGTGGGTCAGAGAGCGTCACATGCAGGAGTTCTCTGCTGGACCTGTGAGAGGAAGAGGCCTGGGCTTAGTCAGATGCGGGGCTTCCTCGTGCCTGTGTGTGCAGGCTGCAGGCTGCAGGCCAATGGTGACTTAAGCCTGTTTAATCCGTGCTCGGTGATGGGGACCTGCAGTGAGGCAGGACAGATGGGCAGAGGTATTAACAGCAGCCAGGGAACACTCCCTCTACCTGTATCAGGAAACACACACACGTCACTCAGACGCACCTTTGTACTTGTGCTTTTACAGCAGTTACATGAAGCTTCATCAGATGAGTCACACTCAGCTCAGGAATCTTCTCTTGCTTTTGTTTTGGGTAAACACACCTGTAATTAAACTCAAATAAAAAGTCCTGGGAAACCCAGTTCAAAAGAGCAGACCAATTACTTTGTGATTATACAGTTAAATACTGCACAAGGAGGTCAGGCAGTGTTACGTCATACGACACACTTTTTAGCACTATAATTTAATATTTCCATTTCTTATTTATTCATTACTCTTTGAACTCCTTGACTCCTCGACTCAAAGTAAAAGTCTGGCCTTGTGCGTTTAACTGACCGTTGGATGAGACGGTAAGTTTCCAGTGAACGGCCGAAAGAATCTTTCAGCGTTTGTTTGTTATTTTTTGACAGTAGCAGAACTTAGTAACTGAGTCAGTGTGGATTAGCTCCTGGTTTACCAAAGGCCGAGCTCAGGGGTTTTGAATGTGTCATTACCTTTGGCCAAGTCAAACAAAGACACAGAGCAGGATCTGTCATGTGTTTGCCTGCATGAGGTCATCGCCTGATTCACTGTTTGTTTTATAGATCCTAGTGTTTAACAGACACACATTTAACTTGTCTAAAACAAAAACAACTGGCTTTTCCGGTATTAGTCAAGGAAATATGCTCTAAAATAAATCATCTGCGTGATTGGAGTCTTTGACAAACGCAATAAATATTTGGTTTCTTGTGTCCAAAGATGCAGAATTTAGATGTGCTTGTTCATTTGAGGCACTGACGTCAGCGCGGGCCTGAGTGGGAGCCCTGTTTTTATGCAGAGGTCAAAGGTCATAGGACATGCATTGGTGAAAAGGTGCGACCGGATCATGTGACTGACTGACCCCTGATGACCTCACCCTGCACATGCTCACAGAGCACTGAGACTTTCAGCACTTCATGGCCTACACACAGGCACAAGGACAAGTGTTTAGCTGTGCACAGATATAAGCAGCCTGTATTTCACACTACACACTCCCCTCTCTGCACATCACACCTACATAAGTATACAGGGAAGTGGCAGCTGCTGGCTCCAGTCAATGACATCAGCGGCCTGGGTGGTACATGTCTATAGTGTCTCTCTACTGTGGTACATATCACACCCAGAGAGTCCTAATGCCAGAGCAGCAGGTTTTCTGTAATATCTGTGCTGCAGAGTCAGGTGCTCTGGACCATCACATCTACAGTGTTCATTAAATGTTCATCAGTGTGAGTCCACTGAACTCAGGCTGATACTTTAAATGACCTCATGAGGGTCAGGGGCGGCCATGTTGTTTTCTAACATCCTGCAGACAGCACAGACTGGATCAGATGGTCCTTTAGGAATGTGTTTGTGCTATACTTATGTCACACAGATCTGCTCCTCTGACCCTGTTGGACAGGCCTGGAGTCAGAGAAACCATGTTTCACTTTCAGGCTCTAACTGTAAGTCCAGGAGGAATGTCCTTGACTCTTCCATGACTAACAGAGCCAAGTAACAGTTATCTTATCTTCATTCTCTTTAGGTTTGTGTGTCCCTCCCAGATATGACCACAGCGGCAACTCAGACATGGAGGAGGACCTGAGCTTGCAGCTGCGGCAGGAACCTCTTATTCTTTTATACCTGAATTATTGTGACAAACTAACAGCACATTATTATCACATCATGTACAGTTTGCACATTGTGTTTCATGAAGTTGCCTCAGTCCTGTATTTTTAGCAGTGTGACTACACACACAGACACGCACACACACACAGACACAGATACACACACGCACACAGACTGTAGCACTGCAGAACTGCTGCAGTCTCAGCCTGTGCTCCAGGTCAATGACCTCCAGCACTGCAGCAAACTCATAACTCACCGTGTCATCTGAGCTACTCATATGTGTTTGTGTCTTTACAAACAAACAGAAAACAAACAGAAAAACTTAAGTAAAGTGCAGGTGTGTTAAAGACTCTTAAAGTCTGTCCAGTGCAGTGGACGCTGATGTGTGGAGACTTCTTAGCAGCACAAATGACCTAAGTTTAGACCCATAATCGCCAGAGTCCTAAATTAGATCTGATCCCATTACGAATGCTATTATTAGTACAAACTCTCCATGCTGAGTAAATATAAAAAGGGGAGAGGATTTCAGACAAAGAAAGCATTAGGCTCTTGTATTACACAGACGTATTGACCAAACAGCTGTAAATGACACACAGCGTGTCGAGCAGCAGTAACAGATCAGAGCATCAGAGCTCAGTGCAGTCTTCACAGTTTTATTTCTGCAGCTGTAAACAGCACAAAGCCTCTGCAGCACCAGTCCTTTATGTGCCTGCCACGCTCTTCTTCCGTTTGTGTCTTTCTCTTCTTCTTCACTCCCCCCGCCCTCCTCTTCCTCTCCATCCTTCCTCCCACTCCTCTCTCTGTCCAGTGGCCGTTGAATGATGCAGTGATTCATAGCTGCAGTAGGCACAGCCTGATGGTCATGTGACCAAAGCCTGCCTGACAACATGGAGAACAACACAAGCGCTGCTCACTCCGCACACAAACACAGGGGCGCATGCTCACAGTCTCCAGACTGAACCAGGACTGTGTCCTGAGGATCTGCAGCTCTGCACTGTCACAAACGCATTTACATTCACCAGAACAAGCCACAGGCTGCAGTGTCAACAGTGCAGAGCTCATATATGTTTTATTCATTATTCACAACCCGGAGCGGTGTACACCCACACCTGTAGCCCTGCTCTTTATGCAGACACACTATGCTTTACATTTGTTACTATCATCATTTTCTTTTATTTATTTTTTATTTTTTGGTTTGTAGCACAGTATATTTCAGTAATGGTAGTGAAACGACTAACTGCCAGTCGTTCATTTGCTGCTTTAAAAACATTATCACACACAACAGTGTGTGTGATTATGTCTGTATTTCCAGTTAGACAGGGATGTTCTGCAGTTCTATCAGAGCTCATTCCACCTGTAAAATCCTTTTCTTCTTTGTTGTGTTTTGTGCAGGTGGAGCTGGGCAGGAAGCAGGAAGTGGTGGTTTATGATCAGAGCTCCAAAGAGGCTGGGCACCTGTCCAAAGACGGCTTTGTGCAGATCCTCATGGGGAAACTCGAGGGCACCTTCCACAAAGTGTCTCTGCTCACAGGTATGCTATTTAAGTCTAATGAGTTTATAGTGCATGTAAAAACAACCACACTCGACCAAAGTGCTTAAAGGGCCCATATTACTCTATTTTCTGATCTATGTTGTAATGCTGTTTCCACATCACACACAGACCTGGAGTTCTGTTTTGTTTTGTTTCATTCACACGTTTAACACACAAACCCTGCATTGGCTGAGTTCCTCCCTCAAACAGAAAGCATATTTGATGAGGTAACAACATTATAACATGGCTTAAACCTCACAAGAGTCAATGTTGTGTAATATTGAACCTTTAACATACAATAGCAAACCTCAATACACAATACATAATAACACAGAAAGAAAAACAAGATTAAGATAATAATAATAATTTGACTATAATGAAATTGCAAGGTGTTGCGTCTTAGTTGTAGGCAAAGGTTTGTGTAAATAGGCGAGTTTTAGCAGACTTTTAAATTTGCTCTAGAGTCTTAGCAGCCCCAACGTCTGCTCTTTCATGTATGGTTTGTTCTTTTTTTTAAAGACAATACAGTAAAGTGTATTTACTTTGTTTGTACTTTGTTTGGCCATCTTGCATTTCCACAAAGTAAATACTCCTTACTGTATTGTATTTAAAAACGAAACCAAGAAGTTAAAGTATGAACAAGATAAAATGAATATCTTTGGCTTGTTTGAACACATTTTTTTCATATATAAATGCTAGAGCTAACAAAAAGTCACTTATTTTTCTTACTGATAGATCATGAATTTGTATTCAAGGTTATTTTGGCATATTAGAAACAAGTAAAAAGTCCTTTAATATTTATTTCTGCAACATAAACAAGACAGAATTTGAAGGTGTGTAGTGTAACTTTTCTGGAGGAGTTCGTTCGTCAAATGATTTTCTCCATGGAGATTTAGTTATTGCTTTGTCTGGAATGTTTCACAGTACAGAAACCTTTCTATCGTCATGGAGACCAAAACAGACCAAGTTACAGGTCAGATCTGTGGAGAAACAACTCTGCTCACAGTCAGAATGCCTTTTTTTCTAGGTATTTTTGAGCTATAAAACCACTTGTGATTTAATAAATGTAAAGTAGAATTGTTTAATGTCATACTGTGGAATATTCCAGGCAGAGCAATGACGCCCTTCACCAGAAAAGTTACACAATGCACCTTACTATTTAAACAAAAATACATATTATTTCCTCCTCCTTAGTCTGAACTTTGCTCCATACCACATTCATGTATTGTGAAAGGGTTGGCTATAAACTTCTCGATTGAAAACACCCAAGTAGATCATTGACAATTATAGATATCTGATTTTCTCTCTTGGATTAAAATTACTGTTCGAAATAAAAAAAATTGAATTAGAATTAGATTTTTTTTGTTGTTGGGTGTCATGGCAGGGTTTGGTCAGCAGAGGACAGTAAAGAAAACACTTCCTTCAACCTTTCAGCCCATACTGTGGTTTTTAAGCAATCACTAATTCAACTTTAACTTAAGAACGGGCAGGAAATATAATGTTTTGTAATTGCTCACTTTTAGATCTTTATGCTTTTCAAATTTCTTATTACTTTTATCCAAGCACTCAGATATAATGCAAGATATAAACACGGAAATCTATCAGAAAATGGCTTAAAAGTATTGAAATTATATGTCCATGCAGCAACATAACTTTACTTGACAAGTTATCTTAAAATAAACTACCTCAAGACTAGAATTAAGCAGTCTCGGGTAAGTGTTCATGAGCTGGAAATAAGTTTATGGACGTTTCAGACTATGGTAAATGGATTGTAGCTTCTTCTTTTAAACATTTATTGCCTAAATTTAAGGTTTTCTGACTGGCTGAGTCATGGAAGAAATATACACTACTGGTCAAAAGTTTTAGAACACCCTCATTTCTCCAGTTATTTATTGCAATTCAAGTCGTGCAAGTCCAATGAAGAGCTTGAAATGGTACAAAGGTAAGAACTGAACATCCAGAGGTTAAAAAAAAAGATAAAAGATACAAAACACAAGTCCAAGCTCTGCCAAAACTACCTCAGGAAAAAAGAACAAATGGTGAGATTGAAAACATGGTGAGTCCAGCACAGCAGAGGTCTGGGACCAAGTAAGTCTCAAGTCTTTGACCTCAAGTCAAGTCCCAAGTCAAATACAGGCAAGTCTAAGTTGAGTCTCGAGTCACTGGCCCATAAGTCCAAGTCAAGTCCAAGTCGTCTGCTTTGAGCTTCAAGTCATTTCTTTAAACCAAAGTACCAAATATAGCTTAGATTTTTGCAAATTATATGAATTTTAAGATAAATTGTAATTAAAAAGTCATAGTATATTTGTATATGAGTATTTATAGAGTATATACGAGTTGTAGAAATGCAAATTTTTCCTTTTTAAATGTCTTGACAAGATTTTAGTGTGAATCAATACAGTCAGAATAGAAAGAATTCAGATTTAAAAGTGCTTCTCAAGTCCAAGTCAAGTCCCAAGTCACTGACCTTCAAGTCCAAACTGAGTCCCATTCCATTTTATAAAGTCAAGTCTCAAGTTCTAAAAATAGTGACTCAAGTCTGACTCAAGTCCAAGTCACGACTTGCAAGTCCCCACCTCTGCAGCACAGTCTCCAGACTTAAACCCCATCGAGTTGGTTTTGGGATGAACTGGACAGAAGAGTGAAAGTCAAACAACCTACAAGTGCCACACATTTATGGGAACTTCTGCAACAGATTTGGGAAGAACTTTCTGTACAAAGAACAAGCCACAAGTGTGTTCAGCTTTTACATCTGCCAAACGTTGACACTTTCATGAATCAAAAGTTTAGAATATGTTTTGGTCAACAGTAAAAAGTAAACAATAAAAAACTGGAGAAAGTGTGGTGTTCTAAAACTTTTGACTGGTAGTGTACTGTTTGTGACAATTTTCAAGCTTTTACAACCATTTCAGAACTAGTAAGTAGATAATAAAACTGAAAACAAGATGAACAGCCTGATATAAGTTTCAAAATCTTGGTTAGATCGGAGAAATTTGCAGAGCTGCTCTCATGTCTCACACTAATTATCCTGTCACTAGGCCTGCAACGATAACAGATTTTCCTGTACGATTAATTGACCAACAATTTATTGCGATAAACGATAATATTGACATTTTGAGACCATTTTCAACTAATATAATGACCATGGAATAAACAAGACAAGACAATAGGACAATAAAACAACAAGCCTAAATAAAATAGACTTGATAACATAAGAATAGCCTAATGTAGTCTGTCTTACAGCAAGGACTTGTTAAAAAATGTATTGATTATTGATTATCGTTACAGGACTACCTGTTACAGTGTCCACAAAGCACGTCTTAAAATGGATAATCTGTTAAATCTCCTATATTAGACTAAATTGACTCTTGTGATCTTTAAGCCATGTTAGACTGTTGTTTTCTCGTCATCATACATCTTTCCTATCAACATACCCAGTGTTTTGTTTTGTTTCATTCACAAATGTTTGAGTAACCCTTTATTATTTGTCTCTGTACTGCTCCAAACCTCAAAATGCTCTCAAAACTCCAGGGCTGAAATGATCTAAATGATTCTAGTGAAGGTGTATGGAGTTTAAAAACACAGTGTAGCATGGGGAGCAGTGTTTTCTCAGCCTAAATATGCAGGATTTGTGTGTTAAACATGTGCGAATGAAACAAAACACAACTCCAGGTCCGTTTGTGATGAGGAAACTACATATTACTTTATAACATTACGTAATATAGACCCTTTAACTCCCACTCCTGCTTTTATGTACCACTCTAATTATCCTGTCACAGCGTCCACTAAGCACGTCTTAAAATGGACGGACGGTTAATTGCCCTGTTCAGTTCATCACATCTGGATCACTGCACTTGATGAGTTTAGGGTCCCACTTTAGAAACAGAAACAGAATTTATTTGGCGTTTCAACCTAAAAAAATACACAGAAATGAAACGCTGTACACCAGGAGCATAAAAAAACAATAAATAGTTCAAAATATTATATGTCAAATGCAGTTTTTTACATAAATGCACGAGAAAAGAGAGTCGTCAGAAATACTCAGATAGGTATCGTTACTAAGACTAAGATCAAAACTTGACAAGATTTGAACCATTCCTGAATATTTTTTAAATGTTTTGGATATTTATAAAGAAACTAGGGTTGCACAATTATGATGATATAACTTTAAAAAGTAAGATTCGGGTGCATTTAAGCAAAAAACGAATTGTGAATTGAGAGTTTCGAACAGAATCTCGTGCATTTCAGAAGATGTTTGTAGAGGTCAAAAACTACTGTGGTTCAAAAAGACGGCTCTGTTCTTTGCATATGACACTCTATTATCTAAAGAGATGCAGCCTTTGCGATTTGATAATTGCACCAACTCAAATTGCTGTTTTTATTTGAAGGCATTATACTGAGCAGCCGTAACAAGAACCACATGGTACTTCTGGAGAAACAGCTTCTTTTTTTCTGTTTTGGTGGTGTTCTTTTTATAATATATTGTCTAAAACCTGTATTTATTATCATTATTTTAATCTGTGTTGCATATCGTATTTCGTTTTACAAAATATTGGTTCAAAATATCACATTTTGGCCAATAAACTGGTGTACAAAACGTGCTACACAGGTCTCCAGGAAGAACAGTTGATAGCTGAGGTCAGTTAAATACAATCAATCAATGAACCTGCCGAGGGACGACAGGTGGACATTAGCACTGATGCTACAACCTGCTACAATGCATCTCTCCTGTTAAGGTTAATGTAAAAATTGTGCACTGTCCCTGTCTTTAAAAATAAATAAATAAAAATAATAAGATGATTTACTGACATCTCATCAGATTAGTGAAAAATGAAAGTAATACGAAGTAATACAGTATATATGTTGGAATGGTATGGCATACTAGTCGGACTGGCGCCACCTAGTGCCTCCGCTCAATTTCATTTCTCTCCAGTGACTAGGTCAGGAATCAGAATACATTAGACCGTTTGCAAGAATGCAAGTAATGGCACCAGCCAATC